TGAGAACTCATTAGTTGATACAATTTCTCTAGTTGTTCTTTGCTGAAGGCAGACGGTTCTGAGGCAGGTTTCGGATCTTCAAAAGCATCTTCAGATGAGGCATGGAATCCCTTTGCATTACGAAAATTCCGATTGGCTAAAAAATTCTAGGATGGCTTCCCGTGTAGCTTCCGACACTTGGCTTTAGTGTGTACCGGCTTGTTGCAGTGCTCGCAAATTGGTCGATCTCTGTCGTTCCGACGATCGTTACGACGTGGTGGCTGAGGCAGAAGACTCGGTGGGATTTGGTGAGTGGCCTCCAAAGCATGACTGTCCGCCGACTCTCCTCTCGTCTGACTTCGAAGAAGACTTCTCTTGTGCTTGGTAGTGGTTCACTACCAAGAATGCGCCCTCTAACTTCATCCAATTCCTTGTTAAGGCCGACTAGGAATTCGAAGACGCGTTCTTTTTCCACCATCTTATGGAATAGAGCCCTGTCCTTAGCACAGCTCCATTCATAGTCGCTGAACATGTCAACCTCTTGCCACAAAGTCTTGAGGTCGGTGTAGTATTGAGTGACAGTTTTTTCTCCTTGTTTTAGCCTCCATAACTGAGTTTTTAGCTCAAACCATTGTCCTACGTTCCCGAGATCAGAATATGTCTCGTTCACAGCATTCCAAATGTCATGAGCAATAGGTAGGAAGAGATAAGTTCTCCCTACACTCGGATCTATGGAATTTATGAGCCAAGACATAATCATCGAGTTTTCTGCCTCCCATCTTTCAGATTCTTCATCTTCTTCAGCAGGTTTCGTAGTGGTACCTGAGAGATAGCCGAATTTTCCATGGCCACAAATAAACAGTTTCACAGATTGTGACCACTGTAAGAAATTATTTCCATTCAACTTATGAGAAGTGATGGATATGTTTTGGAAGGATTCAGTGTTTAGGGTGATACCAGAGGTATCATCGTAGGGTTTGGCCATTTCTGGCTCGGATACCATAAAGTCGAAAAAAAACTTGTTCCGAATGAATCTATTTTATTTCTACCGAATATGGCTGACTTAAATAGAGTTTACAATGTAACAACTTTACATAAAAAGATGCATAAAATTAGCAACAGAATAAAACTGATTCTATCTAATTAAAACTGATCCTATCTAATAACTAACAGAATAAAAAATTGATTCTATCTAATTAAAACTGATCCTATCTAATAACTGACAGAATAAAATATCTAGTTAACAATCCTAATATTTAATTTAGATATTCTCGACATTGTTGTCCATGCCCATAATAATACTTGACTAGGGATCTTTTAATAATAACAATTATATCATTATATGGACTTTATTATCTTCCAGTTTATGTTAAACACATATATAAATGAAAATAATAGTAGCAATGCCTTTATTCAATAAAATCAGTAAATAAAAGTATTATTACAATGGTCATATGATTGATCTCTGGGCATACTCTAACAAAAATGAATTATTAAGTATTGAGTATTTTGATAGAAAATGAGTTTCAAGTATGATTATGGAATTTATTTGGAAATGTATTTATGTTAGTACAATACTAACATATATATGGATATGAATATATATTTTGTACAGATCGTGATTTAACCGGTGTTCAAAACAATTCGAGTATAAAAGAAAAGAGTTATTGTGGACAATAGTGAGACTCATATTTTGGAAAATTTAAAGTGTCAAGGTGAGTGCAATACATGCATGACATTATACATGGATGTTTTATACATCATCAGGAAGACTTGCGATAAGTCAACCTTGTTTATGTTGACATGATATTTATATCATTTACCATATATTTGACATATTTTAAAATATGTCAAAGGTTGAAAATATAATGCATTGATTATGAAAATTGTGATATTTTACCATGAATATTATTTCGGGTATGAATTGTCCAATGTTAAATTATGATAATATACTTTGCCATGGATGATCAAATAAAATAGACTGTATGCCCATGTCAGTTATTGAGGGACAGAGTATAGTTGGCATGCCATAGAGTCCAGCAGCAAGCTACATACGGGATACACTAAAGGATACCTAGTGTATATGGTGGGTACGACCTTATGTGCCATACGGGACTGTACTTAAGGATACCTTGTACAGATGGTGGACACGACCTTATGTGTCATACGGATTAGCACTACGGTGCTTATATTTGACTCGTGTACCTAGGGTCCTCAGGGTTGTATATTGGGCTATTTCTATGGTATATGGTTATGGAAATAATGGCAAGTGTATTGGTAAAATAAGCTTACGAGCTTATGGAACAAATGGTAAGTATATTGGTAAAATAAGCTTACGAGTTTATGGTATTAAATGGTAAGTATATTGGTAAAATAAGCTTACGAGCTTATGGGATAAATAGTAAGAGATTTTATATTATTTTGATCATGGTAAAATATTGGATATGAAAATAACATGATTTTATGGCATTTTGAATTTGTCGTTGAAATTCATGCATGAATTGTATTGCACTATATATTGTTTTAATTGTCTCACTAAGTTTATTCTTAACTTGTGATGATTTTCACGCGTAGGTAAAAAGTCAGTAGTGGAATAAAGAGTTCGGAATGACATCAAGCATCGAGGAGTATATTTCAATATCAGTAAGACATCCTATGATGGAATTTGATATAGATAGTGGCATGTAATTTGAAAATGTTTAATTTGTTTTGTTGAATTAATTTGGAAACAAATTGGTAAATTGATAGTGATGAAAGGTTGATTTTTATGAGTTTTATATGTAATTTTCAGAAGTACTGTAGCAGTACTGTAGCTGTGCATCGATACACATTTTTTGTTCGAAAGTTTTGTGCATCGATACACTGTTCACGTTACTGTAGCAGTGCATCGATACAATATTCACTGTTCACGGGTACTGTTCACTATTCATAAAAAAATATTTTGTTTTAAATTTGTTATAAAAAAACACAATTCATATGATATGATATTTTTATAATATCATTTATTATTTTAAGAAAATAAATTTTAAATCACTTTTAAAATTGGAAATGATTTTCGAAAATTCGGGTGACATCTATAATTTGCATAGGTATAATTATACGGGTTATGGGTGTTACATAGATATTACATATTTATTATTAAATTAAAATAATAAACATAGATATTACATATTTATTATTATCTTCGATTAAAATTGTTAAATTTAAATTCTAAATAATATTTTATAAAATATTTAAACAATCAAATAATTTTTGTGTAAATGAAATTATTAAATTGATATTGTAGTGGAAAACATGAAGCACTATTAAAAACTTTTGAAACATAAATTACATAACTTTCAACAAAGTATCGATACATGTACAAAAAGTATCGATACTTTCAACATATTCGGTAGTTTATTGCCGATTTTGTCATAATGAAACTGGTTTTTCATATTTTTACCTGTTATATTGTTATGTATCGATACATTTTTATAAAGTAATGATACTTTCAACATATCTGGTAGCTCTTTACTGGTTTTGTCATAATGAAACTGGTTTTGTCATATTTTAACATGTTATATTGTTATGAATCGATATATTTTTATAAAGATTCGATACTTTATAGGTGCTATTACTGTTTTTCTTTTAAATTCCAAAAGTGTTGATACTTATTTAAATGGAATCGATACTTTCAACATGTTCGGTATGTAGTTTAATATAATAGGTAGCACTTATTTTTTTTACCGTTTACATTATTAGCAACCTTAAAAAAAACCGGTAGGTATTTTAATATAATAGGTAGCTCTTATTTTTTTTACCGTTTAGATTATTAACAATGTTAAAAAAAACCGGTATGTATTTTAATGTAATAGGTAACGCCTATTTTATTTTATCATTTACATTATTAGCAATCTTTAAACAAACCAATAGGTATTTTAATCTAATAAGTAGCGTCTATTTGTTTTACCGTTTACATTATTAACAACCTTAAAAAAATCGGTATGTAGTTTAATATAATAGGCAGCGTCTATTTTTTTTTACTGTTTATATTATTAGCAACCTTAAAAAACCCCGGTAGGTATTTTAATGTAATAGGTAGCGCCTATTTTTTTACCGTTTATATCATTAGTAACCTTAAAAAAATCGGTAGGTATTTTAATATAATATATAACACCTATTTTATTTTACCGTTTACTAGCCTATTTTTTTTACTGTTTATATTATTAGCCGTTTTTTATTGATCATTTATTTAACCAGTCACATTTTTTTTAGTCATTTTTTAACCGTCTCGTAACATAACTTCCCTGTCGGATGATGACTGTTCTAACTCATGTGAAGAGGTTCGAGATGCGTATCGGCGAAAAGGGTGGGCTATGAGCCTATGACTAATGCAGACTTGATGACCAGGTTTCTTTGCAAGTTCTTTGCCTAAGTAGATTCTGCAAAATTTTATCATTTTGCTTCCTACACTGGGAAAGCAAATCCTACTTTGTGGCTTGATGTTTACTCTGTTGTTTACATATTTTTTTTGGCTTGCCAGTGCAAAAGAGAAGGCTTTTTTGAAAGGATAAAACAGGAGGATGGTGAAGGATGCAACATCCATGGATCTTTTGAAAGGAAATTTTCATTTTGCAGCAGGCAAAAGTTTTCATCAATCCAACTTTTTTTTCGATGACTTTGATAACTTTCCAGAAGGACAGTTATACTGTAAGGCTCATCTTTGTATTTAAGCTCCTTTCTTACTGGAACTGTTATATTCCATATATATATATATATATATGCTTTACTTTTGCTGCAAATTTCAATGGTAATGATATTTTACATTTGTGGTGTTTAAAACAGATCACAGAATTAATAAGTTAGCTTTTGGTGAATACTTCCCTGGTGTGGTAAATCCTCTTGATGGGTAATAGTTCTTTTTCTTCATGGCATTAAAGACTTGTTTACTCTTTTGGTATGTTTTGTTTTCAAAATGAAAATTTTTAATGGTTGATTCATATTGCTATTTCAGGGCGGGCACAATGGACACATAAAACCTCAAACGGAATGTACCAGTATTTCATCAAGGTTGGTATTTTAAAGGATCTATGAATGTTCCTTGTTTTTAAGCTCTTTTAACGGTTTCCCGTGACTTCGCTTTCATTTTCATGCCCACGGTGGCGGGTTGGGGGAAATCGATTTTGGCGTGAATATAATTTTAGGCTCTAGGTGCACCTCATTCATGGAGCCAATGTATGGACTTGTCACAACTGATTTCTTGTATAATTTTGCAGGTAGTACCCACAATATATACCGATATCAGAGGCCACACTGTTAACTCGAATCAGGTACTGCTTGAAAGTTGGCTCATTGAGAATATGAATTACGTTATTTTAGCATATTTATTGGATCGTGTTCTGAGATGTGCTTGCATTCCTATGGCACAGTATTCCGTGACGGAGCATTTCAAGGATTTGGAGTTCATTAGTTCTAATTCTCATCCTGGAGTTTTCTTCTTTTATGACTTTTCTCCAATCAAGGTAGGTTCATTATATTCTTAATCAGATATCTGTTGCATAGTTTCATGATAGTATAGGTAATTAAATGTGTTGAAAAGTAAGGAGGGAAACACAATCCATTTTTGAATTGCTTAGATATTAACTCGAAAACATCTAGAAAAAGATGATACAACACTGGTTTTCATCTTCCCCTGTAATTGGAGGTACATATAGTTTCTATTAGAATGATCCGATCCTTTATTTCCTAATGCATTGGCTTGGCTTTACCTGATGCATCGTTGTTCGTTTAAAGTGACAAAGATTGTGTTACTTCTCGTTTAGGTATCTTCACAGTTGCGAGGATCATCGACTCGTTTGTATATCATGGTCAAAGAAAGGTCAAGGCTGAAATCTGAAAATTCGGATGATTTCTCCTCTTATTCACAGACGTTACCTTGGCTTAAAAAGGAAAAAAAAAAGCATTACCTTGGCTTTCAACACAGTTTTTTTCGAGTTTTCCGATGGTTCGGATGATAATCGTGCTTGCAAATGGATTGATGCTGCTGTTTACATGCCGGTCTGTATGACAACATAGTAGTCCTTGAATCGTTGTTGAAACTGCTTGATCGACCTGATACATTTACAGAAAAAGAATCTATTGCCTATGCACCTGTAAATTGTAATTGATTTTCTTGTTTTAATTCTTACTAACACCAATCAGTTCTAAAATCATGGCAGACAACTGTGCAGTGTGCACCTACTGATACTATTTAGTGTCGTGGAAACACAAAGTGACAATGATCTTCGTAACGGCAACACTGGATTTAATTCTTACTAACACCAATCAGTTCTAAAATCATGGCAGATAACTGTGACCTACTGATACTATTTAGTGTTGTGGAAACACATAGTTACAATGATCTTCGTAACGGCAACACCGGAAAACAGAATGAAAACCAATAACAGATAATGAGCAACGTGTATAAAATAGCAGGTAATGAAGATAAGTTACAGAAAGATGATGTTGAGATTATGCAAATACAGCTGTTATATGTATTAACAGTACAAGACAAGCAATTCTTAGATAGCTTTGCTCAAGTCCCTTGGTGCCAAATGCCCAACGAAATCAAAACTGTAAAATAGTTTTTACCTGCCTCAAAATGTAGTAGGGTGAACCGTGATGGTTTGAATTGGCTCAGAAAATTAAAAGGAATGCGCTTGCGGGGAGTCACAACCCTATTGCATTGAAGACAATTTTCCTAACCATTGAACCACAAACGCTCTGTTGGTCATTCTGAGCTAACTCTAACCTTTGTTGTTTTAAGTGTAATTCGCTCAGTAATTTAAAAGAACTGCGTTTGCCGGGAGTCGAACCCGGTCTATTGCTTGGAAGGCAATTATCCTAACCGTTGGACTACAAACGCTTGTTTGGTTTTCTGAGCTAACACTACTATTTGTTGTTTTAATTTTAATTCTATCAGTAATTTAAAAGGAATTGTGTTTGCCGGGAGTCGAACCCGGATCTATTGCTTGGAAGGTTTGCTGATCATTTTGAGCTACTAATAAATTTTGTTGTTTAAATTTAATTCGATCAGTAATTTAAAAATAATTGCACTTGCAGGGAGTCTAATCCGAGTCTATTCCTTGGAAGGCAATTATCCTAGAACTACAAACGCTTTGTTGGTCATTCTGAGCTAATTTTAAGTTTGTTGTTCATTTAATTCGCTCAATAGTTTAAAAAAAATTGCGTTTTCCAGGAGTCAAAGCCAGGTCTATTGCTTAAAAGACAATTATCCTAATCGTTAGACTACAAACGCTTTGTTTGTCAATGAGCTAACACTAATCTTTGTTGTTTAAGTTTAATTCGATCAGTAATTTAAAAAGAATTGCGTTTGCCAAGAGTCGAATCCAGTTCTATTGTTTGGAAGGATATTATCCTAACCGTTTAACTACAAACGCTGTGCAGATAAGTGAGATGTGTTATTGTATATAAAATTTATTTTTCTTCAAAGTTGTAAAAACAATGATTGTGAAATATATTGGTGGATTTTCTATATTTAACATACGAAGATGAGAGCTAAAAATGAGTTGAATGTGCGATTCGACCAATTTCTTAATGAACCTCACTTGAATTCTTTTTATCGTGAAATTAGATTGTTGACTCTATTAAAGGAAGTTTAATCACTTTAATATTATCTTTAATCTATCGAGTGAGTCGATTGTAAATTGAGTAATGCTTGACTCGTGTTCGTTAATAGATTTTGTTGTTCGACTCGACTTGTGCTCATAAAAAGAAATTATTGCTCAATTTGTTGCTCATTAAGCTCACTAGAATTTATAGTAGGATAATTAGAGTTTAATTTTTTGGTGTAGTAAATTAATAATTATTAATTAATAATTTAATTTTTATTATTTATTAGAAAATTAATATATTAATAAATTAATAGTATATATTAATTAATAATTTAAAATATTTCTTATTATCTATTAGTAAATTAATAATTATTATTTAAATTTTATTTCTTAATATAATAATTTTAAGGTAACTACCAAAAAAATTATATAAAAAAATTAACGAATTGTTCGCAAACTGAATCGAGGTAGACCTTGCTCGAGTTAACTCGTTAAGATCTTGAGTCGATTTCGAGTTCAAACCGAATCAACTTAAATCAAGTATTGAACAAATTGAATTCAAACAGCTCACGAGCTCTTATTTGAATCAATGTTATTTAATTATAATGTGTAATTAAAATTTTTAATTTTCATTCTACTTTTTTATGAAAAATATTAGGTGCGTGATTATTGCTCTCACCATATATGTAAATATGGGCGAAACGCAAAATTTTATGTTTGGAGATGAATTTTTAAAATTTAAAAAGAGATAGAACTTATAAAATTAGAGACAAAAATATATTCCGATAGAAATATATAAAAAAAATAAAATATATCATAATTTTATTTTTTTAACGGGGCAATTATTCTTATCCGCTCCTTCAATTCTTCTCTTTCCGTAACTATCACTATTAACGGACTAAAATTTTACAATAATGTTATGAAAAAAAATATCAAATAATCTTTCTTTAAAATTATTTCATAAAATAGAAGCCGGTGACGCATTAGGTTCTATGCGCTTCCAATTTTGAAAATAAATAAATGAAATTAAAATATGGGGAGACGCAAGCACTGCACTAGTCTCCCCTCTATTTTTTTTTTCCTTTCAAAAAAAGGCATATTGCTCTTACATTATTTAATTTATGGTATAATTCGTTAATCAATATTGGGTGATTCCCGATTAGGGATAACAACGGATGAGGTTAGGGTCAGGTTAACCTGATCCGTAAATATATATTCTACTCTTGAATCTAATCTGATCTCAAAATTTTATAATCATTCATCCGATCTGATTCAACTCAAAAAAATATATATAATACATTCGATTTTGATCCGACCTGAATTTTTAAAGTATAAATCTAATCCAATTTGATTTGACCTGATAAAAAATAAGAATCATATCAGATTGGATTTATACTCTAAAAATTCGGGTCAGATCAAAATCGGGTGAAAAAATATATATTTTTTTGACTCGAGTTAAATTAGGAGGAGGATGATGTAATTAAACAACTTTGATGGCTAAATTGATGCGAAAATATGATAGGAATGAATAAAATAAATTAGGTCTACTAGAAGAACAAATGTAATGATGTAACAATTATTTTTTAGTAAAAGGAGGTCATTTTGAATTTATAAATATTAAAATAATCACATCAAAATATTAGTGTACCAATGACACTAACAACTGTGAGTCGTCATTAATAATTTAACAAAAAAAATTAAAATTAAATGTTATAATTGGAAGAAATTAAGGGTGCGTTTGGTTCACGGAATGTAAGATTACCAGTGAGAATAAAATATTATCAGGGAATAGGATTACTGAGAATGTTGTATTTTGTGTTTGATTAGTTTAGCAGGAATGTAAGATTACCAGTGGGAATAAAAGATTACTGGGGAATAGAATTACTAGGAATGTTGTATTTTGTGTTTGGTTGGTTTAGCAGGAATGTAAGATTACCGTGTTTGGTTAAAGGAATAAAAGATTATTGGAATGTATAATTGACCAAATTGTCCTTATTATATATTTGTATAATATTACAAGTTGTAAAATATTTATATATTTTCTTTAAAAATTAAATTCATAATATTTATATAATTTTTTTTACAAAATTAAAAATATAAAAAAGGTTTAATGAAAGGGTAAAATTTTATTTTAACCCCTGAACTTCATATAAAATTTTAATTATAGATTTTTTTTGTAAATCTAAAATAATTTAAGGATAAATTTATAATTTAACCTTCGTAGAATTTTTATTATTCAATAACAGAAGAATGATATTTTTGGAAAAAAATAAAAATTTAAGGGCATTTTAGTCCAAAACGACGGTAATGTTATACCTAAGGGAAGAGAGGTAATGACATTCCCGGTAATATACTCAAAAAAATCCATTATTGGTAATAAAACATTACCGGAAATGACATTCCCGGCCAAACCAAACGGGGGAATATGAATTCCATTCCAGGGGGAATCCCATATTCCCCCATCCAAACGCCCCCTAAAGGTTAATGATATAAATGATACAATGCTTAAAGTTTAGTGTTAAAACTATATTATATATCTTTGAATTTTAAGTGGTGCATCGATTATATCATTAAACTTTTAATTTCTCCAATTATAGCACTAAACTTTGGTTTTAACTTAAATTATGTCATTTTTTCCGTTAAAATCTAAATATAAACAAAACGATATCATTTAGATGTAACTATTGATGTCTAAAATGACACCATCTTAGGCATTGAATTTAGGGGTATATCGATTTTATCACTAAACTTTTAAACTTTTATTTTTGACATTTATTTTTTTCGACCATTGTAAACAGTCAATCACCACCTGTCAACGATTGATCTTTTGTGACAAGATTGGTACAAAAATGTTCGTATTTCAGTTCTCTTTATTCTCATAGGTTTGATTGTTCATGAAACTCACTCAAAATTTGATGAAATTAAATAAAAATATCATTTTTAGGGCCCGAGGGCTTTCTTAGATTTGAGAGATTT